GGGGCACCTTTTAAATAATTTACTTTTATTATTAAAAACAAACGGTGATAGGGCGGAAAAGAATTACCACAAACTCTACATTTAAAACATTTATTTTCTTTTGTACCATTTTGACCTTAGGATCAAAGAAGAAAATATGATATACACGTATGAAATATCAACTACTGACCATTTACCTACTCACAAACCTTCAAGTATCTACATCGGTTATCTCAAGTATATTTAAGGTTATTTAACTTATATAGCCCATAAGTAGTACTTATTAAATTTGTGATGAGTAATAGTTAAAAAATGAAATATAAATGTAATAGGCAGGTTGACCCTTAGTTACGGTACACGTGAAGCTTTAAGCACCTAAAAGTGAAGGAAACAACGCATAAAATAGTCAATTGTGGCACGCAGATTAATGGGTTAAAATTACGCAACAGCGACTGAATTGGGTCAGGAGAACAACACAATTGTTGCATAACTCAGAACCTTTTATTGGTGTGTGTGAAATGGAGAAACAGGTTAAGTTCCAACTTGGCTTTCTGATCGGCCAAGGGCGGTGGCGGCGGCAGCTTTGGGATATGGTGGCCTTCAATATGAGCCTTTTGACCGGCCATAAGTTGTAGTTACCACCACCTGCAAAATCTTCCACAGCACTGGTAGTGGCATAATCAGCCGTCAACCGGTTGGTTGAAGTTGCAAGTGCTGCATCCCTGGCCCAAGTTTCGGCACTTCATTAATGAAGCGACGCCGCTGTCACAACCTTGGCAACAGCCAAAAGGAAAGAAAAGACATTACTACACAGCTAAGTATGCAGACAGTGTTTTATTTTTTCGTAAGATAATAAAATGCACGCTACCTACAAGTGCGCAGGAAGCGCTGCCGAAAGTTTGTTATACCTGTCTGACGTCTGCTGGTTGGAACAGGTTGCGGGTTGGCTGACTGCAGTTGACCTCCACAGTTGGCGTTACATTTTTCATACGTACATACATATGTATTATATTATTATTTTTATTTATTTTAGCTGCAGCGTTGCACGCATGTATGTTCGTATATACATACATATGTATATGTATAGTATGTACATGGTTTTAATTGAGTTGAGTTTGAAAAATTGAAAAAATTGCTTGTCGCGTTTATCTCAATATTTGCCCTCTACGTACATACTATATATCTGCAAATGTGCTTCGGATGCTTTGGGCCATAAACGGCTGCATACAAACATACATACATATATATGTACATTCGTACGTGTGTAATTAAGCGGGCAGCATGCAGGCGGCATAGGCTGGAGCTTGTGCGACAGAATGGGGTTACAAATGTCCAACAGCTCGAGAATAAACGCATAAAACATGCTCACACCATCAAGAGCTTAGGCCTAGGCTCGGCAAAACAAAAACAAACAACAGGCAACAGGCAACGTGCCACATGCCGTGCGACGCTGGGCTGGGCTAGAGCTGCGCTTTTAAGCTGGAAATTGTTGTGCAATTAAAATCGCATTTTAGGCCCCCAAACGTTTTGTGAATGGCTGACTGGCTTGCTGGCTGGCCGCTAGGCTTTTTGGTGCGTGCGCTCGGAAACTGAAATGAACGCAGTTGGCAACGCACAGAGCTGCAATCTAAAGACACCCAATGGCAGTCAGCAGCAGGGCGTGTGGGTTGGCTCTGGTATGTGTAAAATGTTATGGCTATAAAGAAATACACAGACATTCAATTTACCATAGCACATTTCTAGCCCGAATTCAAATTTATTAACGTATAATCGCTTCACTAACATTTACAGTTTAAAGTCCGAAAAAGAGTTACCAGCTGCGAAAAATATGCACGCCACCCTGTACATCGTCTATTACTGTCATGCACATTTTTGCTTTCTATTGCAAAGTTTCGCGCTACATATGTATGTACGTACATACATACATCCATTTGTATGTAGAACTTCATACTAAGTACAAGAAAATATAATTATAAAGAGTACTTAAAAACTACGATTAATATGGCCAGCAAGAATCGTAAGTAAGCCATTAAATCGTTTATATATCCTTTTTACAATCTCCGCATCTCCATCTCCGGACAGAAGATGACGGACACACAAGTGTAAACAAAATAAAACCCATGCCGATCGATTTTGGAAATGACTGTTACCTTCTAATGTGTAAATGGCGGAATCAGCACAAAGTTAAGAAACTGATTGTGGACAAGATCGTCGAAGGAATGCTTAAATTACAGGAGTTGGAGCATCTGCCCCATGTGCAACAAATTATAAAAGAATTTGGCAACTTCCCAAATGAAGAAGAACCAAACTAAGTGATGTTCTGATACCACATACATACATATGTATGTATGTACATATGTATATAGATTCATACATATCCCACATGTACATACATAGAGAGTGATGCGAAAACAAAGCCATTAAATTTATGTACATATGTACATACATGCATACATATGTATGCATTTGCAAACATATGTGTACTTGTACATATGTAAGTGGCAATGGGCTATTTGTAGGTTAGGTTGGGCGTCTGAAATCTTTGGGAGTTTTCTGCATTGCGCGACAATAGACACACAGGCCTGCAAACAATCATACATACATACATATACAAAAATACATAAGCATGTTGCTGCAGTTATCCGGCGTGATTAATCTGCATAAAACAAGCACGGCCTTCAAGATCGCGTCGTAGTCTGTGTGACATTAAATTATGCACCTAGGCCTATTATTTTATGCAATTGATAAATTGCAACGCAACAAATATACATACATACATATGTATGTACATACATGCATACATATGTATACATACATGTATATGTACATACGTATGTACGTATGTAAATGTGTGTATGCATGACACATTCGGCGCCGCTCACTTTTCTCATGCATCGTGCAAAGTTTAGAATGATTGTTATTGTTGCTGTTATGTACCCTTCACTTTAGGTGAAAGAAGGGAATATCTATTTGGTTTGTCATTTAACGTACACACATATGTACATATATTCATACATATGCACATTGATGTGTGCACCCATTGCGCCAGATTTTGTGTGACGTCCCTGATAACGGAGGTAGTCAGAACTATTTTAGTGTGGCCAGACGGCTTCAAAAAATGCGTAACGTACAAAAAAAATACATTTAAAATTAACCTTCTCGTGTGCTGCCATTTGCGGACAAAACATTGGACTGAAGCTGTTTTTTTAATGTTATGATATTTACGCTTCTTAGTTCCTGTTTAGTTAATTAGTTTGTAAACAGTACAAAATGTGATCAACCTTGGGCTATAATAAAACCCAAGGAGTGCAGCTAATTTATGATTTTTAGTTGTCGGCTTCATTGCTTACGAAGCTTATCGAAATCCTGATTATAAAATGCAAGAAAACAGTGCAGGGTGTATAACTTCAATATAGCCGAAGATAGGTATTTATATGTACATGCGTTTTGAAAGTTAATTCAGTGAAAATCCGCTCATATGCGTACCAAGATTGTCGTTATAGCCACTTTAGCCGCACTGTTTATAGAAGCTTTCATATGACAACTTTTGTTGTTGTTCGTTGGCTTATGTGGCATTCAATTTCAATGTCAAGGTTGATTGAGTGTAAACCAAATTAATTTATTGACTTTCAATTTGCTTTTTACGACAATACTTTGTCGTTGTTGCATCCTTGTAGGCAGAAAACCAACAAGCTAGAAAACAGCACATAATCAAGTGCATGGGCAGTTGCTTTTAAGTAAATGAGCTGATAATTTTCCCACACGCAAACGCGAAAAGCGGTCAGCCAGCCAAGTGAAATGTTCCACATTTGACGCCCACATTTGTTAGCAAATGTAGTTCATTAGCAAAAACAAAATACATTTAAAAATAAAATAAATTTGAAGGCAATGCGATGTACTGTTTGCTGATAAATTCTATTAAACATGCAAAAATTATATAAGCTACGAAAAAGTCATTGGATCCATGACACAATTCAACTAATTGCATGCGATATGTACATATATACTTTTTTATTTAATACAGTATAAGCTTTAATTCGTTTTGAAACTAATGAAGAAAGCTATTACATTTTCAAATCCAAATGAAGGTGAACAATAAATATTCTTTAGTTAACGTATTAAATATTTCCTAAATTGCAAACTTTTAGTGTTGCTTATTTTACATCTTCGGGCGGTTATATTTTGTTATTAGTTTTATGTGCCTCTTCGAAAAAAAGTAAGCCACAATTGCTTTCGCTTAATTAAATTGTACCAATAATTCCGAGGACAATCAACATACATACCTATTTATATGATAGAATTGAAGAGTAATTTTTCCATGTGTGGAAAATAATAAGGCTGCATATAGTTTGTAAAAAACTTGCTCTGCGTATGGATAGGAAACAGCACACAATTTTGATTTTTTCCTTTTACTCATAAACCTTAAATGTTAACAAACTCTTAAGAATTTCCTAAATTTTAGAATTTTCGTTACCCTTCGAGGCTACTCACGTTTCAAGCATATAGAAATGTTTGCTGTTCAACAGCTGTTAGCATTATTAAGTAAATACAAGCAATTTACAGTTGAGAGACGACCTTATAAACTAAAAATAAAACAATTCAAGCAGCTATAGCAAAACCGATGACAACAACAACCGTTAGCCCCGTCTGTTAGATTAATTGCATTTTGATTACAGACAATTTTGATTACAAACAACTGCAATGTAAGGCCAGTTGCTTTTTCTCGATTGTAAACAGAAAACGGAAATATAAAACGCAAGCCGCGCTGGAAACGCGTCGCAGCTTGGGGTAGGTGGCGCCGACGCGGAAGTTGATTGTATACGAACATATGTATATACATAAGTATGTATATTCAAGTTCAAATACATACATATGCGTAGCGATAGAAAATAACGTGTAGTATTGTTTAAAATTCGAATGGTATTGATAGCAATCCCTTCCCTCTCCAACATTTAGATTGATAGACTAATGGCAGACTTACCTATTGTCGTACTGCGAATACATAAGAATAAGAATACATGTGAACTTTGATGCTGTTTATAGGATTATTATAGGATTGCTTCGGTAAAGTGTTGTGGTTTGTTTCAATAAATACTTATCAATTATAAACATGTGTAACACATTTTTAGTTAGCAACTAATACATCTCGACATTTGGATAGCCAAATAGAGAAAAAGACCAACCGTGCAGCAACCACGACCACTTAGGCTGAACTCAACCGCGAATTTGCACAAATAGAATAAGGCTGTTGAAGAGACCTTGGTAGCCATGGGGGTTCGGGACTTGGGTGCGGAAAGTCAATATCTTCTACGGGGCATCATCATTGAATTGCACGCACGCTAGGCACACAGACAGTTCAAGGTAGCGGGCACGCAATAGGAACAAATACTACAATTTCAGTTGCTTCTTCGCCTGCTGTTTCTCTTGTTTGCGCTCGCGCTGTTGTAGGAACTCTCGACGTATGTCGCTGGAGCGCATCTTCAATATGCAGTTTAGTTTATTGTTTATCTGCTCCGCGGTATGCAAGTCCGTATCAAAATCGTAGTGCTTGAAACGTATATGCGAATGATGGTGATGCAGTCCACTGAGGAAACCAAATGGTGAGGCATGCTGGGGATAGTGACCGGGGCTGTTGGGCGAGTGGGCAGTGCCTGCACTGCCGCTGCCCCCACTCCCGCTGCCAGCGTGAGGAACGGGAATACCGGCGGTGAGAGGGGCGGAAGTGCAGGTTGAAGACGTGCTGGAAGAGCTTGATTTTAGCCAAATTCGTAGCAGTGCCTTTAACTGCCGCCGCTCGACGATCTCGCAGTGCGCTACCGACTCAATTGGTGTGCTCACTGATTTTTTCTGGGGCCAGAATTTGGTATTTTTGTGTTGGTCTATTTCGATGCGCTCGCCAGATACTCCAAGCGTGACATCATACTTAAAGAACCGCTTGTCAATAATAGATAGTCGGTACGTTCGATATATAGGCGCTTCTAGCATTTCGTTGTGGCTAAGCATACGCTCTTCGTATTCCCTTACTTTGTCGTGTGCATTTCCGTTCCCGCTCCCGCCTGTATCTGCAACGCCACCATTTAGATCGATATTCTGTAACGCACGCACTGCCGCCTCGGCCATATTAACTTTGTCCTCTTCCGAAGTCATTGACTTGGTAACCAAGTTGCTATGGTAATCCACTCTCGTCACTGGTGGAAGTGGACGGCGCTCCGCCAGCGTCAGATGCGAGAATCCGAACTTAGAGCAGGGCTCGCGGTTATCCAATGGCGGGAAATCTTCCATGTCGTCATTGTCCTCTGTCATGTAGAGCGCATAGTGTCGTACTGATTTAAGCGGCACTTCTGGATACTGATTGGTTGCTTTAAAGCATACAAAGCCAATGACTTCAATGATCTTGGCGGTTGAAAGAACGCAGATTTTTAGAGGATAGTTGCGATCCGGTTCGGGAAGCATGTTTAAATATACGTTAATACGTTTAGTTTGCATGCCCACCTGGGAGGTGCCATCGAAGCGCGCATACTCAATAAATTTATTCTGCACCTGCTTTGGACTCTTAGCTAGCTGCTCAGACAGCTTACTCCTTACACCCTCGTCAGAAAGTTCGTCGTCGCTGCTTTTTTTCTTTGTCGAAGTACTTGCGGTTTGTTCCCCACGATACTGCTTTGGGGCAACTGTCTTGCGCTTGAAAAAGTCTTTGCGTTCCGGCAGCAGCACCTCTTCGTTGTAGTTGACACTTTTTATTCGCGCCGCCTTTCGCTTCGCAATGTCTAATTTCTCCAGTTTCTGCGCCGTGTTTGAGCGGAAGCGGTGCGCACCCACTTCCGAGTACATTTGTATATCGAAAGAATGTGTGGATGTGTCCAGGTCCTCATCGTCACTTAAATCCAGGCCAGGATAGCAGACGAAGTCTGCTTCTTGCAGCGGTGGATCAGAGTGCCCTGTTCCCATTGACTGTAACAGTGCTAGGGGCGTGGGCGTGGCAGTGTCTGTGTTTTTGCTGGTTGTAGGTCTGTTGGGCAGGGATTTGCGCTGAGGCGCCAAGGCCTTGCGTCTATAGGAATCAGTTGTAGTTGTGGCAGTTTGAAATTTCCTCAAGAAGTGTTTGGGCTGTAAATTTACAGAGAAACCGACGCTGCGTGTTTAAATGAACTTCAAGAGAAAGGGGAAAAAACATACCATGTCGTCACTGAGCATTACAGTCTCACACATGCCGGTGTCGTCGGTGGAGACAAAAGAATTTCTTATGTGCGACAGCAGCCAGTGCTGGTTCGAGTAAGTGGCCATTTATTTTGTTGGCTTTAAACTTATCTCTCTATTTGCCTTCAATTTATTTGTTTTGGTTATTTGGTTTCGATGTTTACGATAAGTTTCTGCGATGAATTCATTTAGTTACGATGAGTAGTTCCAACATTACAATAATTACTGTTTAATGCAATCAGTCAAATAGACGAAAACTTCGGAATATTAATATGTAATAGAATAAATTTTGTTTAAAAATTAAAAAAGTATAGCAATCGCTATTGCAATCGGAAACTGGAGGTGGGAAATATTTTCGCTTGTAGCTGTGACTGCGATAGTCAGCGTTGCATATACTAAAATATACAGGATAATAAAAATAACAGCTAAGAAATATCGGTGACTGAAGAAAAATTAAAAATAGTAATTTTTGTATATATAATTACAATTAAAGAATTTATTTATGAAAAACCTAGCTAGTGCTGTTTGTGGAAACATATAAATCAAATTAATGTCATATTTTATTCCATAAGAAGTATTGCATAAAAGTCCTGTTTCAAAAAACAACTTAGACACAGGCTGTCACTAGACGCAGGTATCAGAAATTGCTCGTCTCTAAGACAAGCCACCATGTTATCGATAAGCCGGTAAGGTAACATTTCTTGATGCAGTGCTGTAAAATGGCTTATTACCTTTCAAAAACTGATTAGTTGTCAAAACCAAATTTTTGAATTAAATATTAATATATATTTAATTAGAGCGAATTAAATAATTATTTATTTGAACATATATGGTTAAAATATTAATGAATAGGGCTAAGAGGGTAATAGAAATGAACCGAATAAAGTTTTAGTACTGCAAACAGCCTTCGAGCAACATTTGCCATTCGCATTGCGCAACAATCGCCATGCAGACTCACCCTGTGCAAACACCATATGACTTTTTCCCAAGACGCGAAAATTAGCCTATTACAGAAATAAGACTTTTAAGTAAGTTTCCGCCCATTTCCACGATCAGCACAACTGCTAATTGTTGGCCACGTTATTTAGCCCGCATTACCACATCGTATCGATGCTGTAGTTGCGCCCAAAATGGCGGGAATCGACGTATTCGACGACACCGTAGTCAACCAGTTCAGCTGCAAGCGATGCGACCGAGTAAGTGGTATATTTTACATCGGTGACATTACATTAAATTATACATTATACCATATGTGTAGACATTCAAAAGCAAGCGCGACCAAACGCTGCATCGTCAGGAGGTGCACAATCACAACAAAACTACCTATGAGTGCAAGCTGTGCTCCAAGAGTTTCTGCAACAGCGGAAATTTGGATCGCCACATGAAAGTGCACAACGATGTGCGCCCATTCGTCTGCAACATATGCTCCAAGGCATTCGCTCAGGCTGTGAATTTGCAGCGTCACTTTGCCGTGCACAGCGGTGAGCGCCCGTTTCAGTGTAGCTTCTGCAACAAATCCTTTACGCAACAAAGCAACATGAAGCGCCACAAAATGACACACACCGGCGAGAAGCCATTCCGTTGCCAGCGCTGTGGCCGCTACTTCTCGCAACTTGTTAATCTGAAGAAACACAAACTGGGGCATCTGAATGCCAAGCCCTATCAATGTAACTACTGCGAAAAAGGATTTACCCAGCTGTCAAATTTTAAGCGCCATTTACAGTCGCACATTAAGGAGGGCGTCGATGTGGATATAGCTGAGGCCATACAAGCGGCCTCGGCCCTAGCGCGAGCACGCTTGGAAGCTGAGCAGAAACCGTAAGCATTGATTGCGACTATGAACGTTTCAGGATTTTGTTTTATCCGAAAAACGATTTATCTTTCAGAAGTTTCTTTGAGTGCATGGTTTGTCGTGCCATCTTTGAGTCGTTCAGCGACTATGAGAAACATGAGGGCAAGTGCCATGAAGAGCATGAACGTGCCCAATTAGACGTTAGCCAAATGCATATGAATGCGGACGACTATGCGGACTTGCCCATGAAGTTCTCGGTGCCCGATCTAGATACACATGAGATAATTATTGAGACTACACATTAGGATTGTCGACTTTGGGAAATTGCTATACACCTCGATATACGGCAGTAAAGAAAATACAGGTGTTTGAAATGTATATTGTAAAAGAGATATGCAGGCAAACATATATACATACATACATACGCAACAGTTCATTGGAAACACAATAAATGCAGCACTTACTATAATTTCGAGTGAAATTATTTCAAATATTTGTTTATATCTTTTTTATAGTGTATAAAATATATAAATGATCAAATTTGGCGATATTTATATTAAGCTTCGCCTGACCTTGCATTTTTCGGCCCAGAGTCAATTTTAAGCTTTTTTACAGTGTGAAAGGCATTCGAAATGTGTACCATAAAAATGTGATGTCTCAGCAAAGGAGCAAAATTTACTTTTGAAATGTAATCGTTTTTATGGCTCGTAAATATGTTTGACCCCTTCTCTCATCCACTGTGCGTTTAAGATCTTAACTACAATTTAGTATGTGTGATTTTATGGCTTTGTGATTTTCGGTGTTTCCCTTTTTTGCGCCTTGAATGTATAAGAGTATAAAAAACCTACTGCTTGGCAATGCAAGGCATGAGAATGTTCATATGTTTTCACATTTCAGTGTGCAATGTGCGTAAAAATATCCTTGCAATGTACTACACCGAAGGCAGAAGTCGCCTCAAACCACAGGGGACCCGCACACATTGTAGCCTTAATTTATGCGTAGCTCCTTTACATTGCGAAACAGTTATTCATATCTAGCAGTTAATTGTTTACCATTAAGCAGCACTTTTACTGCTGTTTCTGACTTGTTTACGTAGCTTTCGTAGCTCCTGTATCCAGATAGTCGAAATAAATTTACGTTTATAGCCTTGCGTAGCCATAATTAAGGCCACACTGTTTGCTTACATTGCAGCTTTATAATTGATCATGTTGAATGCTCTTTGTATAGCATTCGATGTCCTTATGTGCTTAATCAAACTAAGTTTTTAAAAAATTATTTAAGTTGCTGGTGTTTTCCGGCTTTAACGGATGTGCAAGTGTGTATGTGCGTTTGTATGTATTTGTGCTTAAGCTTTTAATTGTCAGTTGCCTGAAAAGCTACGTAAACACTCCCAAGACAAATAGCGCACATTTATTTGCAATCACGTCTACTGCTTTGACAAGTCATTTGTTAAAAATTTATTATCGGATGGTCGTGTGTTTTCCGTCCTCCAAGATGTAAAGACACTATTTGGAATAGTTCCAATTAGATGAGCTTTGGTATGAGTAAGTAAAGCCGCTCACCAAAAACTAACATCGTAGGTAGTGGAGTTTCGAATCTCTCTGTAACATACGATTACTAAGCTAAGAGATTAATCTCTTTATTATGTGCAGCTAAAGATATTGACTTTCTTAGTTTATCTTTTTATAGGGCAAATATTGGCAGTATATAAATATTATTATATAAGATTGATTTGCAAAGCCATTCCTTCAATAATATATAAATATATAATAGCATCAGAAACCTTTTTAAAATTGTATGGTGTTTAAAAATTTCTATTAAAAAAAGACTGGCTAATTTTTAACATCATCCGAAATAACAAAATGCACTCGGAGGCAGTTTTAAATGCTATTAAATTTTACCTAATTGAATTTCGAAGTGAAACAAATGTAAGTTGACTAATACTATATTAAATTTGCTTTGTGGAGCGAACTTTCGTTTTTGTACAAAATGTGCCCATCTTACGCTAAAAGAAAATTACGTATACGCATCAGTGATTTGAATTTTTTTAAGCGTCCATTCGGCGTCACTTGGCAGCTTGAAAAAAAGTGGGTCTACTGAAGCGTGTATATCTTTGCTATTTTGTGTGTTTTAATTCAATGTCCTGAAATCAATACAACAAGCTCTACGCATACATACTTGTACATACCAATTTTTATCGTGCGCATGTAGGTAGTGTTGAATGTCTGCGTTTATTTGTTGCAACATAAATATTTGCACAGTAAAATTGTATAGTAAATATCATAGCTCTGTGTGTGTTAGTAGTCGATGACATGGTTGGTGATGTTGCAGTTTTTACAGCACATCGTAAAAATTAATCAAGCCTATATAGTTAGAACTTAGACTTACATACATACGTAACTTTATATGTAGGATACAAATGACAAGTGTTAATGAGACATTTACCTACGCACAAGTTTCGGTTTAATTAACCAATAAAAATCTGACAAAAAGTTGTCTCATTAGTGGCATGCTCATACACTTCTAAGTTCTTATTTTTGCTTAATTTAAAGGCAACGCACATACATGCCACAGACATTTAACGACACGTGCCAGAAAGCCGTTTGGCAAATGTTGGCTAAATGTGTCAGGATCTGAATTGATTTGCCAAATATACGGTCATCATCATTAACAGCATGCTTGAAAATGGAAAATTGTGCAATCTGTGAAAAAACACACACAAACACTTAGACTTTAAAAGACCATTTTAGGAAAGTACGACGATGTGGAACAGTAACGGGCTAAGAAGACAACGTCTGCAGTTGTTGCGTCCACATATTATGGCCATCTAGTAGCTGCCAAAATGTGGCGCAGCCAAAAGACCACAAGAACACCAGCACTCTTCAAATACCAAGACGTTAGCTTTGAAATCAAATTCGAGCTGTTGCTTCCGTTGTCTTGTTTGCTTCGAAATTTTGCGACTGTGATTCGAATAATGCCCCATTTCCTTTAATGGTTTCAATGTTAAGATAGAGATTTAATTTTGCAACATTTAGTGCATTTATACTTAGATCGATATAAAGTGAAACCATACACATACTCAGATTGATTCGTTTTAATTCAATTTTCGTATACACGAACTGCCACACAGTGTCAGAGTGCCACAGCAATATACCAAAATAGAGTGGTAGACAGACGGGGATGGCATGGTGTTGTGTTGCATGAGACTCAATTATATGTATATACCTGCCCCTCTACTGCATTTTCGATATGATAGCATTACGCATCCGCAGCGTATGCCCAGCACCACGCAGTTGCAATTCAATTGGCTGTGTTTGGTCTACTCGTATTATGAGAGCAACAACAATTTCATTTCATGGCTTATTCATCCTGAAAAGGCCAACGAGAGCTTTAAACCAGAACAGTAATCAAATGTAAATATCAAATGATTTGTATTTGATTGTTTAAAATCGTGCGATAGCCGCAGCTTAAGCGCAAAATAAACAGTCTCTGCAGGTGGTATACATTGGCAGTCAACTGAATAGAATAACCGGCATTGTGCAGACATCGAAAAGTATATATAAATATTATTTAACAGATGGGTCCTCAGTTTCAAACATATAGAGACTTCGGAAACTCCACTTGTTTGACCTTATATTGACATAAAAGTATATTGATTGTAAGAATAAATATACTGTATTTTTGCAATCCTGTTATCATTCCCGAATAATCTGCTTATACGACTACATATATAGCTGTCTCATTTATAAAATTAGTATGACTAGCCTAGGAAACAAAGCACTGATTACTGCGCTGTTTAGTCGTTGAATATTATAAATATAATCTTATTAAATATTGAATATAACATTCGTTACTATGCGGTTGCTCGCGAATCTATTTTTTCTTTCCATTTTGCGTGCAACAAATTAAGCCATTTCTATGCATGTTGTATCTGCCACACAAGCATACATATGTAGTCGTAACTTACAACAACAAAGTGTAAGTGTTCCTTTTTTTTGTCACGTCAGACGCAAAACTTGTTTTGTCTGCGATGGCCCATGAGAGGCAGACAAAAAACGTGACACTAGCCCATGTGTGTATGTGGACATGGATATGCTGGCAGAAACATGTAGACGAGAGCCTAGAGGGCACACACCCACAATCCTCTCATATACAGAGAGCAGCAGCTATATCTGCATATGGCTGACAAACACGCCAGCCACTTTAACTAACGCTGCCCGGCAATTCCCAGTGCGTCGGCCAAGTTAATTTCGAAAATATGGCCAACAGGCCCCATCGGCTTTGCTCGGTGACGGCTGGGAAGTTTGGCCTACATGGTCCCAAGCACTATAATTGTTATCTAGCGGCGTGACATTGCATTTTGTTCGCCTCCCCCTGCAACCCTTAATGACATTAGAGATAGTTGAACGCTTTGTTGCTGTTAAAAGTGGCATGTCTACTATAGTACATATTGTATTTGTACGCACATATAGCATGTATGTAGTACATACATTGGTCTGTATACTTGTATATTGCAGTCAATTATGAGCAGCTAATGAGCTTTGGCGACTAGTTTTATGTTTGTCTATCTTGCCAACTAGAGAGTTAATTATTATAAAAGTGAATCTCGTACGTGCATACTGCCCCAGATAGTGGCTGCAGCTTTTGCAATGATAATACCAGAACAGATAATAATTCATTTATAAAACAGTCGGAATGCACACACAAATTTCTTATAGTACCTTCCATGGGCAGCTGTATGGCGGTTATTGACAAAGATTTAACATTTCTGTCTGAAATGCAAATTTATGCTATTTTCTCCAACTACATGCACTTGATTATGGCTTCAAGTAAGCTCTGCTGGTCATGCAAATTTCTACGTATGCATAAGTTACAGGAGGAGATTTATATTTCTTTAGTGGCCTACGGTTACATTATTTTTGCTGACCTTTTTGGCTATCTATCTAAGAAAACTGCTCTATTTGCATTTACATAAAAACATTTTTACTTTTTGTTTCGATTAAATTTCGAGAATGTTGCACAAGTACTCTTGTACGTAACTCTGAGCAATGGAGAGTTTTGAGTTATGTGCTGCTGCCCCTATTTCAATTGGAAATACATATTGTATGAGTCTTTAAATTGAAGGCAACAACTCAAAGAGTATGGCAATATCAAAGGCATATGAAATACGCTTTTTGCTTTTAAGCTCGCTCTGCTTATTTGTTATTTAGATAAGTTGTTTCACATGAGTTTTATCGCGTCAAAGCTTCCCTTGAGTTTCGACTATTTTATCACTCACTCATAGAATTGTAAATGTGAGTGCTTGCACCATTGCAGGATGCTTTTGATCGATTTGTTGTAACATATGAGTAGCTAATGGAATTATTTTGAATTAGACTTAGAAGTCATTTTTAAAATAACTCTTGGTGCTGGCATTAGCGAATAAATGTTTTGCCAAGGATGAATAAAGAACATGTGGCTTTTTAAACA